TATAAAAGGGGAGCTCTGGTAGCGTAGTGACTAAGGCACTTGACTGCTAACCAGAAGGCTGGTGGTTCAAACCCACCAGCCACTCCTCCAGAAGGAAGATGGGGCAATCTACTTCCGTAGTGATACTGCCTCGGAAACCCAAGGAGGGGTTGTTATGAGTCGGGTCTGATTTGATGGCACATAACAACAACAACAACATTCCTTACATATGTGCTTATTTATTTATTTTTATGTGCTAATTTATTAAAAGGATGGTGACAAGAGTCAGACAAACCTAATTTATAATCCTGGCTCCGCCTCTTAATAACTCTGTAACCTTGGGCCAAATTACTTAATCTTTCTGAGCTCATTTCCCTTAAAATATGGATAAAAACCTCTAATTTGTAGGACTGTTGGAAAGATTAGAGAATGTTTGTGTAATAATGAGCAGAGTGCCAGGCTCATGGTTGACACTCAATAAACAATAGCAATCTTTATTTACAGGCTGCTACTTTACTTTACTCTGGCTTCATTATGGAAGACACTTAAAACATCATTTCTAGCAACAATTTCCTGTGTTTGCTTCCTTAAATGTACATAAACCTCCCACCTTGATGAAGCTACTCAAATATATTAGAAAAAAATATTAAAGAAATTTTCAGTACTGTCTTTTTTAGATCATAATATTATAAGAAGACTGTGTGTGTGTGCAATGCTTCCTTTTTTTTTTTGCTTATATAAGGAATGCTGCATCTACATTACTGAATACCAGCAGCCAGCTGTATCTGGATATTGGCTGTCTCACTTATATTCCTGTTACCTATACCTGGCTCCTATAGGCATTTCCATTTGCAACCTCTGTTTTAAACAGTGAACTTTACCAGGGCATTTACTATTTCATTTTCAAATGTTAATTTATATTTTACTAGAAAAGGGAAAACATAAGACAAGCAACTACTATTAAATAAAAAGTGTATGATAATTTTTAAAAATTACCTGGTGGAATACAGGCTCTTTAACCTTAAGGTAAACCTGCAAAATATTAAAAGAAACCCATGTGAATGAAGTGCATTATCTCAACAATTCTGCAAATCTCAAACCTTTCCTGTTTCCCTCATCCTGCTACTTATAAAAGACTCCAGCCATGTTAAAACCAGTCAGATTACATGGCATCCCATAGAAGTATTAGTACCTATAGGAAGGCCTAGCCCTGTCACAGTAAGCTAAATTGGACTACTCTGGCCTCATGGCCTCTGCAGTAGCATGAAGCAGGAGTAAGGAAGTATGGACATGTTGATAATCCCTGTAGCAGCTTTGTTCTACAGTAGAAAGAATACTAGACTTAGAAATGAGAGTTAAATTTCAAATTCTGCCACTTAGTTGCTAAATTCAAGTTATTTAACCAAAGACTCATTTTTTGTCATCTAAATAATGTGGATAATAGTGGTTAGGAAAGATAAGCTAAAATACCTGAAAGTGTCTAGCACATAGTAGGTGCTCAATAAGTGAAGACAGTTAAAAAGAACTTTCATATGCTCTCTTCTTGTTCCAAATAACTCTCAATCTCTCACTTAGATTAATTTCCAGTTCTGTAAACCCTAATTTTAGGTTCCAATGTCATTGGGTGATTAGGTGAGATGCCTGCTTAAGATTAAACATGCATTTATTGCTTTACAGGGGTACAATTTTTAAATGATATGGTACAGAAAAGTCAAAAGTCAAATCATAACCTTGAAATGACTCCCATTACTTAAAAGACAATGTTCAAGGGAGATCAGAAGGGCAGTATTTGCACAGGGAAATAGCTCAAAGGGCCGGAATACAAAGGAAAGGACACAAGGAAAAGGTAACCACAGGGAGGAAGTGGGAAGTGAGCTGATACGTTATGGGGATTGCAATCAATGTCATGAAACAAAATGTGTATGAACTGCTGTATGGAAAATGAATTTGCTCTATAAACTTTTACCCAAATTGTAAAAAAACTTTAAAAAATAAAATAATGTTCAAACTTCTTAGCCTGACATTCAAACCTTCTGTGATCTGGCCCCTGCCTTTCTGTCTGGCTTCATTGTCCTCCTCTCGTCTCTTTTTCATCCCAGGCTCCAGAACGTACTGCACTTCCCCAAATATGCTAGTTTCATGTTTCTGTGTCGTTAACTGTTCTCTCTACTTTGTCCAGAAATCTGCCCACTCTCTCTCCTCCTCTTACAAACATTCATCTTTCAAGATCCACTTAAACTATACCTCCTCCTTGAAGTTTTTTTCCTATATAAACTTGCCTACTCAGGCAAGTCACTGAAACTCTCTGGACTTTATTCTATTCTATATAGACTCCTTTTGACCTCTGAAATTCTAGGATTTTTCCATGATTAATGAGTATGTCATTTAGGCAAAGGACTATGCAGGGCATTGTAGAGACCTAAGAAAATAGTGGATATGTGCTCTTTCAACCTCCTTTTCACCCTCCTCAGCTCACTTAAATATAGCTTCTGTCTCTATCAAGCTGTTGCTGACAGTATCCTCTTTAAGGATACTTGGTCTTTTAAATGGCAATTTCAATGGGTCAAATCTTAATCTCAATTTTATCCATCTTCTCAGAGGCAGTACTGTTACTCACCCCTCACTCCTAGAAATCTCTTTATACTCTGTGACATCAGGCTCTCCTAGCTTTCTTACATCTCCCATTACCTGTTCTTAGTCTCCTCTCAGAAGGAAGGTTGGGCAATCCTACTTCCGTAGTGATACTGCCTTGGAAACCCAAGAAGGGGTCGCTATGAGTCAGGGCCGACTCGACGGCACATAACAACAACAACAACAGTCTCCTTTGCTGGCTCAACTTCTACTGATCTTCAAATGTCAGTGTTCCATAGGGTTGTATATTCAATCATCTTAGTCAATACTATCTCTGCAAGTTGATCTATTCCCACATTTCTACTACTGGCGCTTAAAAAAAAAAAAAAATCACTGCCATTAAATCTATTCTGACTCGTAGAGACCGCCTGTGGGTTTCAAAGGCAGTAAACCTTTACAGAAGTAGATTGCCCCATTTTCCTTCTGTGAAGCAGCTGGTGGGTTTGAACCACCAACCTTCTGGTTAGCTGTCAAATGCCTTAGGTACTGTGCCATCAGAGCTCCTCAGTACTGGCACTTATACCCTGACAATGCCCAACTCTACATCTTCAGCCCAGCCCTACCAATTAAGTCTCAGATGTCATTAATGACAGGTACCTCAATGTCAATGCATTCCAAACTGAACTCATCTACCACTACTATCCCATAGTACAAACCTACTCATTAATTTTCTTGCAAAATGTGCTCTTCCCCCAAGCTTCCCATCTTGGTTAAAGACATACATATCCTGATGTTCTGACCATAAACTAGAGATTTGTTCTATAGACAATGCTCTATTTTCATTCCACTTCCATCTCCCTCTACTCTGTTTGTCACAAGATCCTATTAATTATGGTAACTTCTTTTCATCCCTATAGCTATTTTACTTTAGTCTGAGTTTCATATCTTGCCTAATTAAATTAAAAACTCCCTGGGTTTAGACACTGGTATCCCTGGGTCTAGGAGCTCTGGTGGTACAATGTTTAATGCATTTGCCAGCTAACCAAAAGGTTGGCAGTTCGAACACACTCTGTGGAAGGAAGATGAGGCAGTCTGCTTATAGTCTAAGAAACCCTATGGGCAGTTCTACTCTGTCTTATAGGGTCATGATGAGTCAGGATCAACATGATGGTGTTTTTTCTTTTTTTTTAAATCCCCGGCTCTAGCCTCATACCTCTGTAATGCATCCTCCACAATCAGAGTAATCTTTCAAAAACATATGTCTGATTATGCTTTTCCTCTACTTTAAAAAAACATTAATGGCTCCAAGTTGACTTCAGTATAAAAATCCAAATTCTTAAACATGGCATACAAAGGCCTGATGTTTGTCTAATTCACCAGATTCATGGCTCTCCACTTGCCACATGTTCCAGTCTATACTCTCCTTTCTTAATAGTTTGTAATTCCATTGGTGGTGATAATTTAATGAGACAATAAATGCAAAATACTCAGTAAAACATTTGACACACAGTAAGCACTTAAAGATGGGAGTTCACTACATTCTTCTACATTGTTCCATTTTCCTATGTCTATGGACATGCAATAGTCCCTACCTAAAAATGCTTTACCACATTCTTGCTTGAGGGCCTGGTGAACTCCTAGTAATCTGTTAAAATTCAGCCCAATGCCTTTTCTCTAAAGCTTTCCTTGACCACTCAAGTAGTGATGCATCCTCCTTTATTTCACCTATATAGTTATCATCCTTTCATGTAATTCTTTGTCAACATGTCTGACTTTCCAACTAGAATGAACTCCTCAAAGATACCAACTGCTTCTTTGTCATCTTTGTATTCCAATGCCTGACATGGTAGATTTTCAATAAATGTTGAATTAAATTGAGATGAATAATCTCTTAATACAAAATGCAATTCTTTTGAGGAGACAAAAGCACTACAATGGGATCAGAAGTGACAAGCTATCTAAATTTATGAGGAAACCATTAAATCAGTCACACTATCCTCAAAAGAACAGTCAATCACTTGTTTTTAACAAATAGGAGATAATATGTTCACCCATGAGAAAAGATTAACATTTTTTTTTCCTATTGCTATTAAGTATTTACTTTTTAACTTTTCCCCCTTTAAAAAAAGAAAAAGATTAAAAAGTTATTCCAATTACAAGGAGAAATGACATTTGGACAGGAAACAAAGTAAAAATACTCATAAATTCTAGTTGTAAAAAACATTTCAATCTGAACACAATGAAGCAACACTGGGAAAAAAATTTGCCAAACCCCATAAATGGCTAGTTTACATGCTTAATCTGGTAGAAACAAAATATGACTTACTATGGTTACTATTAAACTGAACAGAACTAATGTAAAAAGCAGATGGTAGTTTACTGAATTCTTCATCTTGAAACATTCAAACCTTAAAAACAAAAAGAGAAAAAGAAACTTGTTTTAGAATATCTGATGAGGAAAACAAATATAATGTTGCTTTACCATTTGCATATGTATCTGTGATCTAGTGACATCCATCATTTCTTCCCATCCGCACTCTAACTGTAGAAAACCTGCACTGCTGTTAACTTCCAAGAAGCTAGATGGACCAGAAGTAGATAGCTGACTTAACCTGGGCCAATGAGAGGCTGCTACCTAAAAATCTGAAGCTTTGGGCCCAGAGACTGAGTCAATCAAGTATGGGGAGGCAAAGTATAAAGTCATATGGACTTAAGGAGTGAGGCTATTATTTGCAGGTAGCTATAATGAGCTCTGGTAGCATAGTGCCTAAGGCACTTGACTGCTAACCAGAAGGCTGGCGGTTCAAACCCACCAGCCACTCCTCAGAAGGAAGGTTGGGCAATCTACTTTCGTAGTGATACTGCCTCAGAAACCCAAGGCAGGGTCACTATGAGTCGGGTCTGACTCGATGGCATATATAATGAATAAGAGAAGCCCTGGAGACACAGTGGTTAAGCACTTGGATGCTAACCAAAAGGTCATGTTTCAAACTGTTCTATCATAGAAAGATGTGGAAGTCTGCTTCTGTGAAGATTACAACAGCCTTGGGGGCAGTTCTACTGTTCTATGGGTTGCTACGAGTCAGAATTGACTCCATAGCAACAAGTTTTTATAATGAAAAAGTGAATGAGTGAATAGAGAAGAGATCTGTGGGAAAGAAAAAAATAAAGCACATACACAGATTCTGAAGCCACATAGACAGGAAGGAATAGAGGAAATAGTGATAGAGGGAGAAGCCGCCTTCCTAGTTCTGGTGAAGTAAGGCTATACTTCATGCTATTGCATTCCATAAGATTTCCCTAGTGTCTTTACCAGGAGCTGTGGTGGCCTAGTACCTAAGGTATTTGACTGCTAAGCAGAAGGCTGGCGGTTTAAACCCACCAGCCACTCCTCAGAAAGAAGACTGGGCAAACTACTTCCTTACAGATAATGCCTCAGAAACCCAAGGAGGGGTTGCTTTGAGTCAGATCTGACTCGATGGCTTTGAGTTTAGTTAGAGTTAATGTCCTCACAATAAGTAAATCTCTCAACTCAAGCTGGCTTGAGTAGGGTTCTATATCTTGCAGCCAATGGTCCCTTGCTAAGGCACACTGTTACAGAAAATATGACTCTTTAGTTATCTTTCTCCCAATAAGACTATGAATTCTTTGTATGTAGGGATAAAATCTTTTTTCATGTACCCAGTCACAAGGAAAGGACCTCTGGTGGTGTAGTGGTAAAAGCATTTGGCTGCTAACCAAAAGGCTGGCAGTTCAAACCCACCAGCTGCTCGGTGGGAGAAAGATGAGGTGGACTGCTTCCATAAAGATTTACAGCCTTGGAAATCTAATGGGGACTGCTATGGAGGTTGGGAATCAATTCAATGGCAGTGAGTTTGGTTTGGCTTGGTTAGAGTCACTAGGATAGTGCCTGACACACAGAGATAGTAAATAAGCAAGTATGAACAAATATTTGACCATCGGTAATATCCAAACTTTGAGGGCTTTATCTTGGTATAGGCAGAAAAGTTCTCTCAGTTCAGCAACTGGCTGTGGGAATTAGGCCCAACTCCTATTTCAGCATCTGTAGAGGTCTTTGGACTGTATGTTCTCTTTAATCTTTGAATTCTGTGACTTTATGACTTGAACAATGAAAAAGTAGGTAGGATATTTGTTTTTATTTTTAAATTCTAGGACTTTATGGCTTGCACAGTGATGGAAAAGTTAGGTGGGATATGTGTGGGTTATATACTCTTCATTCTATCAATCATTTAGATATTTCTGTTTATTATTTCATATCTCCTCACAGCAGGTTATCTGTTAAGAGATCAGAGGTCTATAGGAGGTCTACATTACATTTATTGTAAACTTAAAATACTTGTTTTATATTTTAACGCATTTTATTGAAATATAATTTATGTATAGTGAAATATACTAAACTAAAGTGACATGGGTCAATGCATTTTTTGTTGTTGTTGTTGCAGTATTCCCTACCTTCCTTTCCCACCCCTGGTAACCAACAAAGAAAATTTCCTTCCATAGATAAACCTTTCCTTAACTTTGTACAATAATAAACTAATACTTTATTTGTCCTTCTGTGATTGACTTATTTCACTCAGCATAATGTCCTCCAAGTTCATCCATGTTATGCAGTGTTTTGCAGATTCCACATTATTCTTTAGTGTTGCGTAGTATTTCATTGTGTGTATGTACCATAGTTTGGTTATCCATTCTTCTGTTGATGGGCACCCAGGTTGTTTCCATCTTTTTGCTATTTTAAATAGTGCTGCAATGGACATGGGTGTGCATATATCCATTCCTGTCCTGGCTGTCACCTCTTTAGGATATATACCTAGTAATGGGATTGCTGGATCAAATGGTATTTCCAATTCCAGCTTTTTGAGGGATCGCCATACTGCTTTCCACAGTGGTTGTATCATTTGACAGCCCAATAGCAGTGTATGAGAGTCCTAATCTTTCCACATCCTCACCAGCATTTGTTATTTTCTATCTTGTTGAACTCTGCCATTAGTGCTGGAGTAGATGGTATCTCATTGTCTCTCTGATGGCTAATGATCATGAGCATTTCTTCACGTATTTGCTGGCCACCTGAATATCCTCTTTGGTGAAGTGTCTATGCATGTCTTCTGCTCATTTTTTAATTGCATTGTTAATCATTTTGTTGCTGAGGTGTTAGCATTTTCTATAAATTTTAGAGAATTTGTTGCTGTCACTTTGTTATGTGCTTTTCTGTGGGGTGTTGATTTTTTTTGTTCCATATAATTTTCTATGCTGAGCTTGTTTTGTTTATGAATCATGTTATCACTTCCTTCATTGCTATTCTTTTGTTGTTGTTGTTATGTGCAGTCGAGTGGGCCCCAACTCATAGCAACCCTTCCTTGGGTTTCTGAGGCAGTATCACTACAGAAGTAGATTTGCTAAATATTTGTACTGGTTCTCTTTTTTATTTTGATGTAAAGGTTTATCATTTTTCTTTGAGGTTACCTGTGATTTATAATTTTCTTCTCAAGTTTAGAACAGTCTGTTCTATCTTGTAGTTGTCTTGACTTCCCTACCACTTAGAATTTCTGAAACTACAGTTTTTTCCCTCTTTTTGGTTTGTAGTTGTCCTCATTTGTCAATTGATGGCTCTGGTTCCCCATTTACAATCTTGTAGGCTAATTTACTTTGGATACTTCTATAACTGGGTTGGTTTCTGGGTTATGTCATCATGTGTGTTAACGGTCAGTTGTTGTTGGCTGTTGTTGGTTCTCTGTCCAGAGGATTCCCTTTAGTATTTCTAGTAAGGTTGGTCTGGTTTTAACAAATTCCCTTAATTTCTGCTTATATAGAAATGTCCTAATTTCACCATTATATTTGAGGGACAATTTTGGTGGGTACATAATTCTTGGTTTCAAATTTTTCTCTTTCAAGTTTTTATATATACCATCCATTGTCTTCTTGCCTGCATGGTTTCTGCCAAGAAATCCCAGCTTAGTCTTATCAGTTATCCCTTGTAGGTAACTTTTCATTTTTCCCATGCTGCTTTCAGGATTCTTTCTTCATCTTTGGTTTTGGTGAGTTTGATGATGATATGTCTTGGTGATTTTCTTTTGGTGTCTATCCTGTTTGGAGTTCGTTGGATTTCTTGAATGGATATATTCTCATCTTTCATCATACCAGAAAAATTCTCTTCCAACAAATCTTTGACAATTTTGTCTGTGGTTTTATTTGTCTCTTCCTGTTCTAGAATTCTGATTACGTGTAGGTTATTCCTTCTGATGGTATCCCACATGATCCTTAGGCTTTCTTCATTTTGTTTTGATTTTTTTTCTTATCTATCCCTTTCTAAAGAAATATTGAGGTATTTGCCTTCAATCTCACTAATTCTGTCTTCCATTGATTCAATTCTACTTCTTTGCTTGTTGAATGTGTTATCTATTTCTGAAAATTTAGTATGAATCTTTTGGATTTCTGTCTGTAGATTTTGTAGCATTTCTAATTTTTCCTTTAGTTTGTCATTCTGTTCTTGTATTGTCTTTTGAAATTTTTCTAGGGTTTTATCTGTGTTCTCCTCAATTTTGTCAGTGTTTTCCTTGATCTGTCTCTCAATTCATTGAAGGTACCTAAATATAATTCTTTTGAATTCCTTATCAGGGAGTTCCAATGCTGTGTCTTCCTCAGGGATGTGTTTTGGTTCTGTGTCCTGGTCCCTTGTTTCTCCTGCTTTATTTTGCTTCTTTGTGTGGACTGGGATGCTCTGTTGTCTCTGAAGCATTGTGACATTTTTGTATTTATATTTAATTGGTGATTGTATGTTGGAGTGACTTGCCCATGATTTTTTTTTGTTTTGTTTGGATATTATCTACGTAAGCAGGGTACTATGCTGTGCCAAAATGGCCACCACTTGTAAACATTCAAAATGGCTGTACCTTTGTTCACTTTAAATATCCAAAATGGCCACTGCTTATAAACCATCAAAATGGCTCTGCCCCCCAGGCAGCTGGAAGTCCACAGCTCAGGTTATCTCCCTCCTTGCTGTTTCCCTTCCTAGTCACAGGCAGTGCAGTCATCTCCGTGGCCCTTGGCAACCAGGGCTGATCTTTAGGTCAATTCTCAGGTCCCAACACCACTTGGAAATATTCAGGCTGTTGGTCCCGTCAGAGTAGCTAATAGTCCATTGCTCTGTCTCTGTACTCACTGTTTTCATTCAAGGTTTTCCACTAGTTGGTGCCTAATCCACTTCTATATAGATCTTTTCAAAGCTCAGGGCTCCAGGATTATCTTCTGTATCTCTGTCAATTGGTTTCTCTTTTCTTTATTGAAGAGGATCTATGTAGCTTGTCTGACTAGTCTGCCATCTTACTGGCAGTTCCTTAAAATACTATTTAAAAACCATGGAAAACCCAGGTACAAATTTAACAAGTGTGGGTAAGATCTCCACACCAAAACCCACAAAACATCACTGAGAGAAATTAAAATCTAGATAAATGGAGAAATATAAAAAATTCATGGATTGAAAAACTTAATATTGTTAAGATATCGATTGTCACATATAAATTTTAGCAGGTCACTCTTCCTTTCACTATTTTTGGATAAAAATCAGTCTTAGTTAAGGTAAAAGCCAATAGGAGCATGGTTTTTAAAGTTTAGTAGAAATAAAAATTTTTTAAAAACGAAACTTTAAATTACTCTAAGGTATGCTTATATATAAGACAGATGCACTGGTTCAAATTGTGGTTCTACCACTTACAAGCCTTGTTACTAAGGCAGACTCAGACATGTGGGTTCCCAAGACAGGCTAGTAATTTGCTGCCTTTCCAAGCACATCCTTTACATATTTTCTTAACATTTAAAGAGGCTGAATGCACACTTTCATGGGGATGCATGGAAGTACTCCTCTAATATCCCCAGCAATTTAGCTGGAGCACAAATTTGAATACCCCACTCAAAAGTCCTTACCCACCCTCCTGAGAAGGCACATCTAATGATCATCTGTTGCTATCTGACCACACATTACAGTAAGGGTCCCACTTCTACACTTGTACCACATCCTAAGCAGCCTATCAGAGTATTCTTCCAAATTCTCTTTGAGAGGAGTTCTGACAATTGTTATTTTCTCTATCATGATATATTTTCAGGGATATTTTAATATACAAGCTCTGTTTATGTCCTTAGGCAAGTTATTAAATCTCTCTGTGCTTCATTTCCTCATCTATAATATAGGGATAATACCCATTTATCTTGCACAATTGCGACAATTAGAGATAATGTACTAAGCTGTCAAGCACAGTTCCGGGTACAAAGTAGATAAATAAACATCAGCACTTATTAATGTTCTTGTTTATCTCTGACATTCAGGAACTGCAAATTAATTTGATATTGAAGCAAATTAAATAGGATCCAGGAAGAGAACTTTGAATTGGTAATGGTTTCTGAGCTGTTTCTCTCATTTTTGTCTATGATTGTGAATTACCAATCAGTGTGACCATACTCTTGACAGCATTTACTCTGATTTAGAATAGGGAGAATTTAAAGGACACAAATATCTATTATATAACAGAGATATTGTCAAGCAAAGAGGAGATTAAAATGACATAATCACTGCACACTGATAGATGTGTACATCACTTTTCAGATAAGCTTCTAGTAAGAAACTACACTGTAGTATATACAGAAACTGCATCTAAAAATTCTATGGCATAATATAAAAAAATCTTTAAGTTTATACAAATTCATCACTCAAGAAAAGATAAATTATACAACTTTTACTCATATTAAATCAGATTCTACCTAAATTGGCTACAGGGTTTTGAGACCACAGAAACTAATGAACAACATTATCATAACTTCCCAGAGATTGTACTCAACTTTGAATCACAAAAGTTATCATCTTCTACACTATTACAATCTCCCAGTAATTAATTAGTTATAGTAGTTAACTCACTATGAGGCAAATATAAATTTGAAGATATATCAAATTTTAAACATTAGTACTTACATGCAGTACACAAATATACAACAGCTGTAAATCATTGGGAGTTCATCCAATAGCTATAAAAACAAAGACAGACAACAGGATTTGAAAATCATAGAACTGTAATTATAATCAGATAAAAATGAAACAGCAGAATGCTGAAAACTGTCAATTCTAATGATTTCCTTTGTTGTTGTTGGTGCCACTGAGTTGGTTCCTACTCACTGTGACTACACATACAACAGAATCAAACACTGTCTGGTTCTGCGCCATTGCCTCACAATCATTTTTGTAGCCACTCTGTCTCCTTACTAATTACTTTACATATTTAATCATCCTTTACTTACTCTGTGTATATTTATTGTGTCTGAACAAACACTATCTTATCCATCCATTCATCTATTCTATATATCTAAGTAGGATACTGACTTACTATTCCTGGAGGACAGTCTTGCAGTCATGCAGTGCTTGCACCATCCTGCAGTGTTTGCATCACAAACTATGCTATCAGTACCTCCAGGAAATAACGATGCCAACCATCTACAGGTTTGTGGGTCCCATCAGAACTCATGAGCATGTCCCCCTTTCCTTAAACATCTTGGATGGATAAAATATCCACTAATGCACATAAGAAGAGATTATCAAAGCTGAGGAAATCATTTAGTTAATCAAGGTAACTAAGATTTCTGAAAAACAACATTTATTATTATCATTGCTATCATATATTAAACAGTAGGAGTCAAAGGCATTTCACTGCTAACCAGAAGGCTGGAAGTTCAAACCCAACAGCCACTCCTCAGAAGGAAGACTGGGCAACCTACTTCCAGAGAGACACCACCTTGGAAACCCAAGGAGGAAACCTCGGGAACTGCTATAAGTCAGGTCCAACTCAAAAGCAGTGAGGTTTTTTTTTTTTTTTTTTTGGTATATTAAACAGCAAACTAGGTACTATGCTAGGTGTTGTGGCCAGGTTATTTCTAATCCTTAAACTAATTTGATAGGGTTTACACATTTAATTGATTCTTTAATAACATCTTCTCTGTGCCAGGCACTGAGGACACAATGAAAAACAGGACACAATCAGTCCCCTTGAGGCGTGTACAACTTAGTAATGCACAGGGAATGAGAAACATGTGATTAAATATAGAGAAATAATTACAACAAAAGAAGCACACAGAAGCCAGAAAAGGTGAAAACAGATAATGAAATAGGGTGGTAGAGAAAGACATTCTAAGAAGAAGGAAGAGACCTTATGCAAAGTGAATGATATCTTCTAGTAAATTATTAGAATAATGAAAATAACAGCATTTGTGCAAAGTCTTACAGTTAAGTGCTTGACATTCATTATCTAACTTTAACAACAATTTGAATGTAGGTAATGTTATGATCTTTATTTCAGAGATGAGAACACTGAGATTTAGACAGTTTAAGTACGTTGTCCAAAATCACAGAGTTAAGAAAGAGTAGAGCTAGGTTCTGACTTACTCCAAAGCACACCTCTCTATATTATGTTGCCTCCAAAACCTTTCATCTGAATCACTTTTAAATGTTAAAAAAAAAAAAAATCAGGCACAGTAGCAAAAGCTACTGCCAAGTTCTGTAACATGCAGAAGGTTTCTCTAAAGTTTTTGAATCAGGATCTACTGACTTTACATTAAACATCTTTTGCATTTTGTCTTCTACATTTCAGTTTTCAAATGTTAGCAAAATATCTGTGTAGTCACTCAGCATATGAACAATTTACTGATGTATTTGTTGATGTTAGGCACCATCAAATTGGTTCCAACTCACAGCAACCCAATGTACAACAAAACGAAACTCAAAACAATCATTGCCATGATTCAGTCCACTGTTGCAGCCACTGTGTCAATCCATCTCATTGACAGTCTTGTCTTTTCTGTTGACCTTCTACTTTATCAAGCATGATGTCCTTCTCCAGGGACCGGTCCTTCTGGTAATATTTCCAAAGTACGTGAGACAAAAGTCTCACTATCTTTGTTTCCAAAGAGCATTCTTCCAAGACAGATTTGTTTGTTCTTTTCACAGTCCATGGTATATGCAATATTCTTTGCCAACACCATAATTCTGGTAGCACAGTGGCTAAGGCACTTGACTGCTAACCAGAAGACCGGTGGTTCAAACCCACCAGCCACTCCTTGGAAGGAAGATGGGGCAATCTACTTCCGTAGTGATACTGCCTCGGAAACCCAAGGAGGGGTCGCCATGAGTTGGTCCAACTTGACGGCACATAACAACACCACCACCATAACTCAAGGAGCCAATTCTTCTTTAGTCTTCCTTATTCATTGTCCAGCTTTCATATGCATATGAGGTGACTGAAAATACCATGGATTGGGTCAGGGAAACCTTAGTCCTCAAGGTGACATCTTTGCTTTTTAATACTTTAAAGAGGTCTTTTGCAGCAGATTTGCCCAATGATTATTTGATTATTTGATTCCCTGACTTCTGTTCTATGGGCATATTGTGGATCCAAGTAAAATGAAATCTTTGAGAACTTCAATCTTTTCTCCATTTATCATGATGTTTCCTTATTGGTCAAGCTGTGAGGATTTTTGTTTTATTTATGTTGAAATGCAATCCACACTGAAGACTGTAGTCTTTGATCTTCATCAGTAAGTGCTTCACTTTCATTAAACAAGGCTGTGTCATTTGTATATTGCAGGTTGTTAATGAATCTTTCTCCAATCCTAACGTGCATTCTTCCTACAGTCCAGATTTTCAGATTTGCTCAAAATTATTACAGAATAAGTATGGTGAAAAGATACAACCCTAACACACACCTTTCCTGATTTTAAATCATGTAGTATCCCCTTGTTCTGTTCCAGTAACTGCCTTTTGGTCTGTGTATGGGTCCCACATGAGCACAATTAGGTCTTCTGGAATTCCCATTCTTCTCAATGTTATCCATAATTTGTTATGATCCATGCAGTTGAATACCTTTGTATAATCAATAAAATGCAGGTAAATATCTTTCTGGTATTCTCTGCTTTCAGCTAAGATCTATTTGACGTCAGCAATTATATCCCTCATTCCACGTTCTTTTCTGAATCTGGCTTGAATTTCTAGCAGTTCCCTGTCGATGTACTGCTGAAACGGTTTTAAAATTATCTTCAGCAAAACTTTACTTGTGTGTAATATTAATGATATTGCTGGATAGTTCCTGAATTCTCTTGGACCACTTAAGTACTTAAGGATCCATTCTGGGGGAATTTCTTTCCAAATATTTAGAGGATAAGGCATAAAAACATATATTTTCTCTGTATTATCTCATAGGCCTATCCATGCAGACTATGAAAGGTACCTGAAATAATTGCTGTCATTCTTTCATTCACTGATTCCACAAATATTTATTAAGCACCTCTATGTGCTAGGCACTATGCTATTTGCCAGAGACAAAACAGTTCTTAATTTCAAGGTACATTACAATCTCACAATTAACGTTAAATGGTTAATTCTACAAATAAGTATTTAATTTTAAATGTGATAAGTACTATGAAGGAAAAATACAGAGTATCATGACCATAAAATATGGGTCCCAACTTAAGGAGTCATGGAAATTGTCCTTGAAGAAGTGACACATAAAATGAGATCTGAGAAAAAAAATGAAGATGTGATCAAGATGAAAAGGGGCTTCTGGCAGGGGCATGGGGGAACTCACAAACCCTAGGCAGAATAAACAGCATATACAAAGGTCCTCTAGTAAAATGGAAATGTGAAGAACTGAAAAAGTCCTACTACCTACCATCAATGCAAGAAAAAAACTGCTAAGATAGGTAAAGAAAAAAGTAACAAAAGAACACTAAACTGGGGGTCAGAAAATAAGGATCTTAATCTTGTCTCCAACTTTTTGTGTAACTTTTCATCAAATCACTTCCCTCTCCTGGCCTGTTTCCCATTTATAAAATTAGAAGACTGATATAAATTTCAATAATCTCTTCCGATACTAAAATTCTATGATTCTAAGGTGCTTTCATCCCCTTTTTTTTGGAGAGTCTCTGCTCACTCTTGATGTCTCTGCCTCTTTTCTAATGACTTCCTCAATCCAATCCCCAAAATCTATTACTTTTAGCTAGTAGGCACAAAAATTCTGCACATTAACCTGGCAAAGGAGGTAATTAAATAGCTTTAAAATGTCACCCTTCACAGAGCATATACAATTTAATGACATTCAAAAGAATGAATCAGTAACAATGAATCAATAATAGTAGTTTCAGGTATTCTGATTGGCTGAAGAAAAGGAAAGGAAACTAATATTTATTAAGCACTTATTTACCAGAGGGAGCTCTGGTGGCATAGTGCCTAAGGCATTTGACTGCTAACCAGAAGGCAGGTAGTTCAAATCCACCAGCCACTCCTCAGAAGGAAGGTTGGGCAATCTACTTCTGTACTGATACCACCTCAGAAACCCAAGGAGTCGCTATGAGTCAGACCTGACTCCATGGCAGTGAGTATTTACCAGATCCTATGATAGAGCTTTCACATACGACAATCAAAATGATCCTCATAACAATCCTAACAGGTATTATTAGGCCCATTAGACAGAAAACTAAAGATAAACAAGTGATAGATTTAGAATTGGATTCCAGTTGCCTATGCATTACCCATTGCTGTCAAGTTGATTCCAACTCATAGCAACTCTATAGGACAGAGTAGAATTGCCCCATAGTGTTTCCAACACTCTAATCTTTACAGAAGCAGACTGTCATATCTTCCTCCTGTAGAGTAGCTAGCTGGTGGGTTCCAACCATAGACTTTTGGGTTAGCAGCCAAATGCTTAACCACAGCACCACCAAGGCTCCTTAAACAGCCACCTAGGGATAATAAATCTAAAGAAAATACCATCTGATCTTCAAATCATTCTTAAAACAGAAATGTCAATATTTGCCTGTGCTCAGTTCAGGCAGGTGTCAAAACTAGCCACTAATTTCTCTTCAGCTACCACAGGCTAAGTTCAGGCTGGTGGAATGGCTCACTGAGCACCAGAGTGATGAAAGTAGCAGCATGGCCATATCTTGGTTTGCTTCACTGGTTCTGCAACAGATGATGGCTTAGCATG